AATTTGATATCCCCTGGGAACAGATTCCCTCTGTGCTTAGGGTGTTAGAAACTGGAGATCAGGAGGTGGAGGTTCAGTTCTTGCTGTGAGATTTTCAGCTGCTTTCTTAAGTTCTTGTCACCTCTTTTCCCCTTGTGTAAAATTAGGATAATGACATTTCTTCATATGACAGTAGCTTAAAGTGTTCATGTCTGAAATGCTCAGGTGGAAGTTGTTATACACTTCAGAGATTACTGTTTATTACTGATATTTCTGAGTTTCACTCTCATGTATGAAATAAGGGCAAAATATTATGAACATTTTGCCTGATTTTGAACTTAAAACCAATTTTGTTCTGAATTAATTCCTTTGAATAGAATTATTCCTGAACTACATCAACTGGGGACCAGCTGCTGACCCCAAGTGTTTAAGAACTCCAGATAATCACTGATGAAAAGAGACAAAAATACATTTTATCTAAGAAGTATCTAATGTTGTGATAGAAACTGAAATTAAAGTATAATCCAGAGAGAGAGAGAGAGGGAGGGAGAGAGAATATTCTTTAATTAAAATCAGCTACCTCAAAAGATGGATTTTCTCAGGAGTGAAATTTGCACTGTGCTGAAGGCTTTCCACTTAAATCCTTGATGATGCAAGGAAAAAGAATTCTCAGGGAGTAATATTGGCATTAGCAGATAGCCACATGCCACTGCACAATAAGGAGAAATCTGCAGAGAAAAAGATGTATGGTCAATAGAATGGAAAGATGCACAGAACAGGAAACTCCCTGAAACACAAACACATGTTTGTTCAGCAGCAAAGGAATAGTTTGGCAGAGAAAGGGACATGAGATAGAGGCTTGAAGATAGAGGAAGAAAAATAAACCCGGAGGCAGCAGAGATCAATGAAAACAATGGGCACCTTCTGCCAGGAGAGATGTTAAAAAGACTGAAACAGCTTTAGAAAACGTGTTCAGGAGCTTCCATGGCCCTCCCAGCACCCCGAGGGCAATTCCTGGTCCCAGGCAAGCAGAGGAGGGCTCAGGGCAGGGAGATGTGTGGAGCCACCATGGGAGCAGCCAGCATCCCCTGGGGTAGTCCTGGGGGATTCCTTCCCCACCTGGAGAGCTGCTGCTGCTGGTAATGATGATGATGATGATGATGATGCTGCTGATGATGATGCTGATGATGGCAGCTGTGCTGGAGGGGAGCACTCCCAAGGGCCTGGTTGGGAATCCCACTCCTTCCCCAGTCAGCTGCCATCGCAGATGTCACTGCAGCACAGAGGGGCTGGTGGCCAGGCAGGGTGCTGCATGGCTCTGGGACTGCCCTGTGGCAGAATTACCTTGCAGAAACACCCACTCACCAGCACTTGTTTCATGGTGTGCAGCAGAGGAGTTGGAGCAGCTTCCTCACGCCTCTTTCCTCGCACACGCAGATCTCTCCAGCAGGAATCTCGTCTAACAGCCAGGTGGGCTCTGTGAGAAGTGGTTCTGCTGCAGTGGGGAAAATGTGCATCCTTTTTTTTTAATCTTGTTTTTTTTTTCCCTTCCTTTTCCAAAAACAAATATTTCACGGCTAAAGTGGAGGAGCTGCTGCAGAGGTTTCCCAGCTCTGGGGAAACGGGCAGGAGTGGGCAGCAGCAGAGCCCCCTCCCCGTGCTCAGGGCACCTCAGTGCCAGCGAGAGCTGCACAGAACTCCAGTGCCTATAAATACCTCACAGCTTGGCTCTGTGGGATGCAAATGGTTTTGTAGCAAGAGCCTAAACCCGAATTGTTAGTCTAATATTGGCCACGATATTGCAGCCAGGCAGGATGGGATATGTAGCAGGGGACATTTAATGTGTCAGATTAAAAAACCTCTGCAAATCTTGGCTGAGTTCAGGTTCCCAAAGAGCTGATGTGGATTCAGGACGAATTTCAGTTCAAGCAGAAGGGTTGGCTGATCATTAAAATGCATCATACAGGTAATCTGGCTCACACTCCCAGACCTTTAGAGGTATTTTAATACCCACAGTACTCCAAGTGCTAAAGCAGCCTAACCAAATTTTGCATCCAGCATCTCCTGAAAGGAAAACAGAGCTCACAGCAGCAGAAGAACGAGGTCTTCTCAGTGGTGTGGCTTACATGGGAGATCAGAGGCTCCTCCTGAGCTGAGCTGCACGTTCCCAGAGCTGTGGTCACCCCCGTGCTGCACAGCTCTGCCAGCCTTGGGTGCACGGGGCTGGTGTCCGTGGGAGAGGGGAGAGAGGGGCTGAGAGCCAGGCCTGGAGAGCAGCGTTCACATATTAACAGATTTCCACTCAAACTGGCAAATAGGGGATGTCTACGTTAGAAATGCTGTGTGAAAGCCAAGGCAACAAAAGTCAAAATGTGCATGCGAGAATATGTGGCACACACAGTATATGTCACAATGTTTACCATCACTTCAAAACATGCACCCGCCCACAGTTCTTCACTAGCAGCATCCTGGAACTTCTCCAATTGGGATTTGCTATATGAAGCAAAAGTCAATTAAAATCACCATTATTGTACAGATCACGAGATCCCTAGTACGAGATCCCATCCTCATCCCAGCTGCTCATTAATAGCAGGGTGTTGTAAACAATCCAGGACAATTGCTTGGGGTTTGTGGACTTTTCTGTGGCTGTGTTTGCTCAGTTAACATATAACATTTTTAAATGGCTTGGATTAAAAATTTTAGCAAATGTCAAATTCCCCAGAAACACAGTTCTGTTGCATTCTGGAGCTGTTTCAAATATAGGTCAGTCAGTAAGTGTGCTTAGCTGATGAAAACACAGGCGGGGGAAGAAAGATTTGGGGAAAGGGAAATTCTGTCCACCCAGCTTGGCAGAGGAGCAGCAGCTCACCCACCTTCCCTCAGCAGAGCTGTGGTGGCTGATGGCAGCATCACACCAATCCCAAACTTCAGCACACATACGCACAAATGCACACACTAATTTTTAGGGATGACTTATAAATAAAAAATCTGTAATTAGGACAATTTTGTTTGTAATAGGCAGGGATAAGTTGTTTGCTTTAGTGCCAATATCAGTAGCAATGGAAGTGCACTTGCTCTTTTATTTTCAACTCTTTCACTACCTCCTTATGTTTAGTTTCAAGGTGAGATCAGTATCAGGAAACATGATGTAATTTATGCTATTGTCATTTTATGAACTTCAGCAGATCTACTCCTGCTAATGTATTGTAATTATACTGGTAATCAGAACTGGATTTGAAAATGTAGGGAGCCTGGTGCCAACTGCCACTGTGTGTCTGACCAGATCACAAAAGGAAAACAACAGTTGCTGGAATTTATTGTCAGGGGAGCTTCAACTCGGATCTGCAGACAGATACGGACTGCAGAAATTAAATTGCTGTTCATTTCATATATGTACCTAATTTCTGTGGATTTTCAGACTGGCATCCTAATCTCTGTCATGCTTGTTCCCATTTTCTTCTCAGTTTTCCTTTAAGAGAAGCTTCCCTACTCTCAAGCCAAATGCAATGTTCCCTGCTGTGATGGATTCCTTCTTTTTCCTTCCTAATTGGAGCCATTTCATCAGATCGAATTTTGACAAAGATAGTAATTGTCATCCAATTTTAAGGCAATGACAAGATCAATATGAATTCTCAGATGACAAGTATTATTACTGGGTGAGCACAAAGAAACAAAGAAAATGAAAAATCCATGTTCTAGGGATCAAAGCAGTTAGAGGCACATGCTTGCCCTGATCCACGTGTGTGTGAATCCTGTTACAACAATAGAGGCTGTGCCTGTGGATGGATGGGTAGAACAGATGGCCTTTGCCAGGCAAATAGTGCAGGAAAACGAGCACCCAGTGCTTTAGTACACTGCAGTTTGGGTAATGTGGGAGTCAATTAACTTGCCACCAAACAGGCTTACAGGCAAAATTACCCACAGCCCCATCTCTGCTCCTCCTTAACATTTTGTGCTCCTTCTGTTCCCCGAATGTCAGGAGTGAATACCCAAGAAAACCCTGCTTCTTTAAGGTAAATATATTCAAACTGTATTTATGTAGGCACAAGTACTTGATTATTTTTATAACATGGTTTAAATGAGATGATCTGATTAGTTAATGGCCCAAAGAGTTCAGGCAGAGTTCAGATAAGGATCTGAAATGTGCAGCAGCATCTTCAGACGTTTTCCACACCGTGGTGGTTTTGGGAGGGATTCTGCCATGTATGCATAACTTGCCAGATGCTGTCATGTTGTTTTAGGAGGTTCACTCTGCAACAAGACATTTCTTCAAGGCATTTGACCCTCAGAGTGCAGCTCCTGCTCTGTGTTTGCTACTCAGGGTGCATCCAGGTTTCCACTGCAGGGCTGCTCTGCACACGCCTGCCTGCCCATTAAACCAGACCTGCTGCTCTCCCACCCCCAAAGTGTTAAATCCAAGGAATTGGAACCTGCCTGGGTTGGGGTTTTTTCCTTTTCTTTTTCATTATTTATATTCAAAATACATTTTAACTGAGGAAAGGCAAAATAATACATGGTTGTCGTGCTAATTGGCAGCTGCTATGGGCAACAACCGTGACAAGTTTCAGCTCTGTCCACTCCAACCCAGCCAAGTCATTAAGGGTTTCCAGGCAGAGAACTGGGTTATGAAACCCAATATTCACTGGTGGCTGTGCTGGTGTCGCTGCATTGCCGAGCACCTTCTCAGCCACCCAAACGCAGGTTCAGTAGGATTATGATCCGTGGAGGAAGGCCTCAGCCAAGCACTGAAAAGATGTTTGCTAGCCTCCAAAATATAAATAAAATATTTACAAAGAGAATAATTGACTTTTGATGTTTACTTCAGGCTATGGTTAAGCAGGCAGTGTCTGTACTAAGCAATGCAGTGACCACCTGCCACAAATGCTGTGATATTTGACAGATCCCTTTCTGCCAAGAACTATAATTCCTATTTAAATCTAAATAGAGGAGCCATGAATGCAGATTTCTCATCACAAAGACACTGATGTTAATCCCCAGTACAGAAAAATAAGAAAAGCCAGAACGTTTTATTGGATTTTATATGGAAGATAATTAAACAGTATTTCTTCTTTACTTGGTATACAGCATCCCATCAACCTTCCTGCTGAAATTTGTTTCTAAAGAAAGCCAGAAAGTTTTATTACATTTTTATGTAAAAGAAAATTAGCATTTTGTGTATTTGAACTTGTATTACAATAACAAAAAATGGGTAAACAAAAAATGACCAAAGAATGATGAAAATAAAAATAAAAATAAAAAAAGTAAGAAAAGCACAACACTGTTCTCATAGACACAATTTCATATTCTAAGCATGCAAACCAAATAAATGTTTGTGTGCATATGTATGTATTGTATATATTCACATACCAAGCAGTTCTGAAAACCCAAGCTGATGAAAGTTAGGAAATGCTAGAATTAGATGTGCCTGCACACCCTAATTTGGCCTTTTTGGTTATGTACACAGAACGTATGCTGGGGTTTTTTTTTTGCACGCACACCCCCCCACAGAAAATGGTGCAGTGTAGGCAGAAAATTGGCTGTGAGAATGATGTAATCTCTGAGAGAGCTGCTTTGCAGGAGCCTGCTTCTTCTCTGCCCACAAGCCCGTTTGGCATTTTGGATGTACCCAAGGAAGTTCTGGTGGCATGTTCCCCGGCAGGTGGGTGCTGCCAGTCTGGGGCTGTGCAAAACGTGTGTGCATTTAACGAGAGCTCATCAACAGAGGGGAGGGGGCAGGGGAGCTGTATCCAGGGCTGCATCCTCGGCATTTAAAAATGTTTCACTTCAGCCTGTGCTGCCATTTACTGCATTATGTGATGCATGTGGATTTTCCAAACAAAAGATGTTTATGGGGAGAGTATATTTTAAGATCCCTTTCATGACTGCACAGACCCCTCTCCAAGCAGATGGCCTGACAGTTGCAAGGAAACTATTCATAAGCCAGAAGTAGCATTTAAAATTCTTTTTTTTTAAAAAAAAAGACAGTTTGTTCTCCATGCACATTTTAAGCAGGTACTAATTCTGTCTGTGGCAGCACCTTCCCAGCCCAGCAGCACCACAGCAGCCAAACCTGTGCCCTCCTGGCTGCTCCCATGCACAGGGGCCACCTGAAATTCCACTTCCACTCACTGCTAACTTGGAGTAATCTTGGAGACACAACAGTTTCCCTTGTGTACCCAAAATAGGTGGGATCTGCAGGGAAAATGTTTGCTTGGCATCTGTGACTGTGTAGAAACAAGAATTTTCCAAGGACATGAATGTATCTGATTCCATTTTCCTTCTCAGCCTTGACTGTTACCTAGACGTTGGTGACAGTCTTTGGGGAGAATAACCAGCTGAGAACAAATGAGCCACTTCAGCATTCCTAAATTCATGCATCCAGGGAGAAATCTGGAGGCAGTGGCCTCACACAGCTGCCTTTGCTGACCCTTTTAATTGCCTGCCACAGAACCCCCTGCTCGAAGGAAACCAGCGCTTCCATATCGTGCACTTGATAAATAAATAATGCCATCCCTCCGGAGACAAGAATTCCATCTCTAGCACAAGGACAGGGACTAAGTGTCCTTCCAGTTTGGGGAGATGGGTTGTTTTTGCTTTTCCTTCACCTCAGGAACTGAGGCTTATTATTTGTCACATCAAACACATTTAGAAGTATTTCTGAAAAATTTGCCTAATATCCCGCAGCAATGAGTTGCAGGGTTGATTATACACTGCACGAATGTTTTCAGCTTTTTTCCTTCACCTTTCCATGCATATTTGTGCTTCAGAGTAAACAGAATAAATAGTCCCTTCTCTCTGCTTCTGTTATATCATCTTTTACTCTTGTGTTTTGTAAACTAAACAATGCTAGTCTTTTTAATCACTTTTTAGATGGAAGCTTCTTTCCTCATGTGTTTAATCATTTTTGCTTCTTTTTTTGCTGCAGAACTACATACATGTGGGCATATACACCCTGGAGCAATCAAAAAGTCTGCTAAGAACAGGTTTTAAGGCTCTTTGCTCCCAAAACAATTGGAAATGGTTTGTTATGTGTGAGGATGAGCCTTCTGAAGGCACACCCTTCAGACAGATAATTTGTGGATGATGTTCTTCCATGGCCCTGAGGCTCACCTCCACTCCAGGCTGCCTTTGTCCCTCTCTGGGAGGGATGGGAGGGCAGGGCTGGTGCTGCTGCTCTGCTCAGCTCAGAAGAGAAGGTGAGCGAGGAGTAAGAGCCTGGTGAAGGTGATGCCTAAAGAGGCTGCTTGGAGCAGAGGCTGGACAAAGTTAAAGAATAAAGTGGGGATTTATTAAAAGGTCTTCAAGGATACACCTCGGGCAGCACAAGAGCCTGGCTGTGGCTCTGAGTTTTCATACTTTTATAAGTTCTGGTCCATTTCCATATTGGGGTTCATTGTCCAATTCCAGCTCCAGGTGCTGCAGTCCCACCCTCCCAGTTTGCTCCCCTCCATTCCTGCTGTTTGCACTTCTTGGGGCTGGAGCTGGAGGTGTCCTTGGTTCTGGGCTGGAAAAGGATTGTTCTGTGTGCCTGAGCTGGTTCTGGGCTGGAAAAGGATTGTTCAGTGTGCCTGAGCTGGTTCTGGGGCTGGAAAAGGATTGTTCTGTGTGCTGAGCTGGTTCTGGGCTGGAAAAGGATTGTTCAGTGTGCCTGAGCTGGTTCTGGGCTGGAAAAGGATTGTTCTGTGGTCTGAGCTGGGAGCAGAACTTGCTAAAACACTTTATTTATGCAAAGTTCAGAGTTATTCACCAATGCAGAACAGAGTCTGGGAAACATGGAAGGCATCAAAGTCTCCAGAAGAAATATGCTCTCCAGCCAGGACCACGGTCCTCATGGATATCCAGTCAGGGCACTTCTCTTTTGGCAGCCTTTTGTTCCCTGACCTGCAGAAGCTTTTTGCTTGCTCCTTTCTGGACCCAGAATCTCTGTGCACTGTAAAGGCCAGAGCCTTTTGGGGGAAAGCAGCACACATTTCATCAGGGGAGTGGACTGGCTCTACGCAGGTTAGCTGAAGACCAAGGCCAAATACATTTTGCATAGGATTTCCCCCGTCTAATTTCAGCCCTCCTACTTTCCTTTCATTCTTAAAATCAAACTGAATGTATCTTGTCCTTGGAAAGGTCTTTGCTAATCCTGTTGGTAGTTTTAAATGCTATGTAAACATTTCCATTGTGGATTAATGTGCGGTTTCAAAGCAGTGGAGATTTTAAGATTGCCATTAATTCAGAGAAAGACACTTCTGTTACTATTACGGTTCTTTTGGAAACTTAATTTCATTCAATGCCCTTTTGAAGGCTTTGCACTAGAGTGTTAAATGAATGCTATCAAAGGCTATATTAAAGAGGATTGTATATAGTTGACCAGGGTTCATGCTAGGTCCTAGTTTTAGACAGTATCTTACATTGAAAATATGGTTCTTCAATTATACCTTCTATTGCAGAAATGAAATTACCTTGAATGCTTGGTGTAGTAGGCTTATTTCTTAGAATACAATAGAAAATGGTCAAATTCTTCCTCCCAGTAAAACATATCTGATTAAAAAATGAAAGAGAGAGAAAAATGTGAAAAGCAAAATCAGTCATAAGAACCCTGGGATCAGTGAAAAGACAGCTTGGACAAAGGCTCTCCATTTGAGTAGCCCAAATAATTCCAGGATTGTCTGAATGCTTCAAGTAGACGTATCTGAAGTGCCTAATGTTCTGCCAGCTGATTCAGGATGCTGCAAAGGGGGATCAGAGGGCCAAAGTGAATATGCAGAAGCTTTTAAATACATTCCCACTATTCATAGTAATCAAAGTAACTTGAAAATGCATCTTCTTAGCAAAACTTAACATCTTTGAGATCACAATCATAAAAAATAATTGATACAATTAGAGGTATGAATCTACATTTTGTGTAACTGCAGCTATTCACATTTATTACATTTCTAAGTGTTTTCTTGTCTGCTTTCCCAGCTCCTAATGTACATCTGATTTATCTGGAGAAGTACAGTGATTGCAGTCCTTCCCTAGTTTGTTGGGGTTTTTTTTGCAGTGCTTTAGGCGTGGTTTCAGCGTGCAGAAGGTCCAGCCCTGCAGGGACACATCAGGCCTTGGGCAGACTGCTCTGGCAGGCAGTGCTGGCACCTTGGGCTTGGCTGAATTGAGTGGCTGCTGCTGCTGCAAGTGCATGCAGCCTGCTGCAAGTGCATGCAGCCTGCTGTAAGTGCACACAGCCTGCTGCAAATGCACACAGCCTGCTGCAAATGCACTCAGCCTGCTGCAAATGCACACAGCCTGCTGCAAGTGCACACAGCCTGCTGTGCAGCCCCAGACAGCCTGCCTGCCTAATTCCAGGATTACAGTGTTAAGGACAGGTAAGGATGATGAGCAAGTGGAAAGGATCTTATGTCCTTACATCCACAGGGAGCTCCGTGCCTCTGTCCTGCTGGCATTAGTCATGTAAGCCTCTCATCCATCCACCTTGGGAAGAGCGATTTGCTCAGCCTTTGGTGCTCTGCTCAGGTTTTGATGTGCTAGCTGAGCAAACTCCGTGATTGCTTGTGTGTATGGGAATTAATTATGAATTTAGGCTGTATAAAGCAATCTTGTGGACTGCTGCTTCATTAGTAATCTGATCTGCTAGCCCCTGCACTGCTGAGTGCCTCAATCCACACCGCATTGCTGGAGGAGCGGACACTGTGTGGAATTTGGGATGTTTCTCCAACTCTTTGCATTCAATTCTTACCATCCTCCTCTCATGAGGAGGGCAGCTTATGGTGAGAGGCCAGAGCACAGGATAAGTGTTGTTCTCCCCGCTGGAAAGTTGTCCTACAGAGAAGGTTTCATTGATTTTCCTTCCCAGAGAAAGCAAGTTAGAGTGCAGGTCTGGCTTGCTGGGCATGGATGTGCACCCCGAGGCTCTCGTGCTCCTGCTGGCTTCAGAGACGGAGTGAAATGTCCCAAGAGCTACAGCTGAACGGCAGAACACAAGAGCAAAGTGGTTATTTTCTTCTTTTAACCAGTCTCTTCTTATTTGTAAACCAATTAAAATTAATCTTGGACAATTTGATACACCGAGCCACCACCTGCAGGAATCTTACTGTTCGGTAAAAAGGAATCATTTTTGTTTTCCATAAGAGACCTGGATAGGACAAAGAAACATTTCTATATTGTATGCATTGGCAAGAAGGATTAGACAGGCTGTAATCTTGGTCAGTCTGACCTCTACAATTATGGAAAATTACAAAGATTGATGTTTGTTGCAATTTATCTTATTCACAAACTGGTACAGAATGAATCTTCTCTTTTGAAATACATATTTCACTAAAACTAGAGTTCATATGAAGTGATTTCTTTTTCTTTCTTTTCCCCATCAGATTGATAATAGTCTGTGTAGGAAAGAGCTGAAAAACACAAAAAGGAAAAAGTTGGAGCTATTTGAATTGTCATGGCAATATCCTGGATTTTTCAAGAAGTTTGGTTCTGTTTAGCTAGTCACTTTAATTTTCCTTCACTAACTTGTCTCCATTCTCTGCCACAATGATAATTCTTTATATGACTGTCAGCCCTTTGCATTGTGACAGCTTAAATTAATGTTTTGATATTTCTCTCTTTGTAAGAATACAACAAAGAAGACAACTGCCAAGGATAGGACAGAAACTATATGAGTGTAAAACAGACACTGCGCACCAATAAAGCCAGAAGGAATAATTTTCATGTTACTGCCTTGTTAATAAGCTTTTGCAACAACTAATCCTGAACTCTTGGGGTTCTCTGGGCTGGTATGGCCCTTGTGCTTTGTCTGGATTGTGGGGAACTCCTTCTGGGGCCCTTGGGCATTTCTGGGAGTGCTCCAGCCCGTTCAGGCTGGGGAGGTTTATAGCTCAGGCAGGCTGCTTCAGCCTCTGGTACTGCACCAGCCTCAGCTGGGAGCTTTGGGATTAGCTCGTTTTGCCCCATAATCACCATGCAATCCTGCACAGTGAAAACCCTTTTGCAAGCTAATACACATTCATCTCATTTTTACACACCGCCTCTCCAAGTGGTAAGAAGTTCAGTAAGAAGAATTCCAAAAGGAAGGTGAAGGAGGAGTTGGAAGGGTCTGATTTGGCACTTACAAAAGAAATGATGAAAAGGAATTGTCTTTAAGATTTCGTGGAGGTTTACACCAATCCTTATCTAAGGTTCAAGGCCTTTAGCAGCTTCGTTCCTGCTCTTAATGTATGCTTCGAAAATCCCAACCCATCTGGCATTGCTGTAAATGAAGCTTGACTTCAATGAGGATGGTGTTTTTCAATGTTCTTTAAAAAATCTTTTTAAAAAGATCTGAGATATCACATGCAGTTTAATGTTTCAGTATAGCTGAGGATTTCATTATTACCTTCTCTCGTTTTTATCATTTTCCGTCTGTTTCTCCTCTCACACATTCCTTCAGGACCTGGCCTCACCTGAGAGATGAGGAATTTAAATGAAAGTAGAACAAAAAAAATCAATTAATCCATTCTTTGTGGCAGAAGCCACCAGATGATGCTGTTACTCTTACAGCTTCTTAGCATGTGAGCAAAATTTCAGTTTTTGAAGGAATGTTGCATTGTTATTAGCTTAGTTTTACACTAATCCTTTGAGAGAAGCTACCAGCAGAGTGTGTTTTCTGCTTTATTCTCTGTGGGATGCAGTTCTTAGGACAAATTATATTCCTTGGAGTTAAATGTGCAGTGCCATACTGCAAAGTAGCATGTTCCAGAAGGAGGAGGATCACCTGTGATGACTGCAGATACCACTGTTACAGGGTAAAAATAATGATTAAAAAAGTAAAAGCATAAAGAATATGGGTTTCACTTAGGAGGAGATCCACATTCCTTCCTGTTTTATCAACAGATGAGTGCCAAACCCCCAAATTCTGTCACTACAGAGAAAGGAGAGCGTTGTCACAGATGGAACACACTGAAGAAGGAGAGGACACTCTTGTCACGGTGGATGTGCTGGGCCATGTCTGAGAGCCATCAGGAGAGCACTGTTTGCATCTCAAAACATCCCCTGACCTGTGCCTCTCCCTCTTTAACAGAGAGCTGGTCCCAGAGAGCTTCAAAGAATAGATCAAAAGTGTGAGCTGTACTATTTATCTCAATGGACCACAAGTGCTGAAAGCTAGAGATGAAAAATTTAACATCAGATTTGTCAAATATTTCACTGCTGATGGGATCATTTCAGCAGAAATGACCAATGGCAGTGCTTATCCATCAAATTGAAGGTTTAATATAAAAAATAAATAACATGGGAGATAGGGCTTCTTAGTGGATGATTCATTTATGCATTTTAATTAAAACACTTGATTGTTTAAATGCAAATGAAGCAAACTCAGAAATGGCAGTGCATTGCATCAGCGGGCTGGAAGCCCCAGTGTCAGAGTCCAGCACATCCCTCTGGCTGTCCTGGCTGCCTCCAGACCCTGGCAGGGGGCTCAGAGACCCCGGCAAGAAGTCAAAAACACCTGTGGCTTCCATTTTAGCCCATGGAAAAAGCTGCCAACTCTGTATAAGGAATTACAAACCACAAGGGTTTGAGTAGTGTGATAGGTGAATTGACATAGGGTGGAAAAGTAGAATTTTGGGGGTTTTTAGAATATAATTCAGGGGTACCAGATGGAGGAATCTGGGCATGTCCCAGTCTTTTCTTTCTTCTTCTTGTCCTCCACGTCTTGGTGTGATGGTGAGACTTTTCTATGGGTTTGGGATGGGGACACACTGTCCAACACAGATGTTAAATATTGGTGCATTGTTATAAACAGGCTGTATGTAACTTTTGATATAAAAGGTAAACACCACCCAAGGCACCAGCCAGACTGCCATGTCTTCTGTACTAGGTGGACCTCAGCAGGTCAGAGAGAAAATATTATAGAAAAGGAGAAATAAACAACCTTGAAAATGGAACTTCATGTATTCAGACCTGTCCTTCACTGCCGGGCTGGGGAAGAAGGACCCTCACAGTGCTGGGGTCTCACAGCTGGCCCTGACACCCCAGCAGCACCCCAGGCTGGGGTGAGCCAGCTGTGACTGAGATTCTCTTTGCCCTGGGATTTCCAGGCTTGTCCACCAACTAACATAAAATAAATTCTGTTTATGTTTTATAGATCTTTACGAGAAAGAACAAGCAGGCACGCACAGAAACCGAGCCAGCCCGTTGCAGAGCTGATGCAGCCAGGCTTTGCTAAGCCAATTAAGCAATCAAATAAAGGCCACAACTGGAATGGACTCAACAGATCAGTGAAATCAAATGGTGAAAATTAATATACGAGGAAATTAAATCAGAATTATAAAGCTGAGGCTGAATTTGATTTGATTTGTTGGTCCTGGGCTGGGGATATTTACAGGGAATTTTTTTTCTTCGCAGTCTGAAGGATGTTTGTGTCCATCAGGTGTGAGGTTTGTGCTGGTTCTTCCCAAAAGAGACCCTCTAAAACAAATGGTCATCCTGACCTGCTCCACCACAGTTCTGTCAGCAGCTCTGCTTCATTCTTTACTACCTTAAATTTCCCTGTTCTAACAAGTTACTAGCTTGCTGTTCTGATTTTCCCTTTCTAACACAGAAAATCTTTCCACAGAAGTGACACAGATGACAGCCATATCAAGCAGTAACAGCTTTGGGGGAAAAAGAATAAATCCAGAAGAATCATCTTAATTATATGCAACATTTACGGAGTTCGGTGTTTACTTTTAGGGACCTGTATGTAGTGCTGTTTCTCCATTATAGAGTGCAAGTATGCAAGTGTGTCTTTGAGATAAGGCAGTATCATCCTGGTATAATGAAAAGGAAATGAAAAGAAAGAGTTCAAAATGCTTTATATTTTGGGATCTTCACTTGTGGTGTTGACAGCAGCTGCAACAAAGATTCAGGTTGAAGACAACTTACAATTCATGTTGAACATCTCCGTGGCATTAGCACAGCCAGTAACAAATCTTTTACCTCTGTCCCTGCGGATTGTACAGCCAAGAGAAGGAAAAGCTTTATGTCCAGCAGCTGTCCGTGCTGCCTGGGAATGAGCACACTTCTTTCCATCAAGATCTCACTCCCTTCAGGATCCTGCTGGTGCTGATTAGCACCAGACCTGGTGGATGATGTGCCCATGGAAGCCTTGAGCCATGAGGTTACCAGGAGGAGGTTCACTGTCATGCAATATCTGCCAGTCTCATTGCAGGCTGCTTGTCAGAGGAGCAGAGATGTGGAGAGCACGCTGTGGAAACAAAATAATAAAACAATCAATTCTTTGTGAGTTCTTCTACAGCAGTTGCCTCCTCACCCAGCCTTGGGCAACGAATGCAGGTAAATTCCTATCCTGCCCCAGATTAAAATAGTTCTTATTTTTGTCCCATCAGGTTAAATTATTATAATTAGAGTTTTTCTAGGTTTGATTCAAACCGATTGCAAGGAGCCATTTTGCTAAAGGAGCAGATTTTCCTGTGAGCACAGGCTGGGCTACCTTGGGTCCAGGGAACTGGGCTGCAAGGTCTGGGCTGCCCTTGGCTGGAGCAGAGCCCTGGTGAGGACACGTGGAGCACCTCCTGCTCTCCCCACATCCTTCATCAGCACGATGTGGTTGGCCATGGGCCAGGGCTCACCACCCACCTCTGCCAGGAAAGCCATGCCAGGTTCCATCCCTGCCCACGGCTGGGCTTGGAGCTCGCTGAACTTTGAGGTCCCTTCCAGCCTAAACCATGCCGTGATCTAAGAGCTGGGACTTGGGCAGGAGGTGGGAGAGAAAGAGGAAAGGAGATTCCTCACCGGTTGGGTTGGACATCCCCAAGGATGTGAGAGTCCCAAAATCCGTCTGTGCCACAGCTCAGCTCAGACCCTGGTGAGCTGAGGGAACTTCTGTCAGCAAGTCTTGCCCAGCGTGAGAGGTGAGCTGCAGAGCCAGGCCTCCTGTTTGGGCAGAGCCCAACAACACCAGCGAATTAAAGACATCATTGAGGGTTTGGCAAAATGGCAACACAGCTGCCCAAGGTCATCTCCAGTGAAAGTAGCCGGGGAGGGTTACACGGAAGATGTTAATTGGATTTTCGTTTTCTCCTCAGAAAGGTTTAGAGCTATCGGATCTCACCCCGGTACAAGCTGCATGAATATGTCCAAGGATATTGTGAGCTGATTATTGTTCATCCTTAACGGCTTTCCATCTCCGTAACAACGGTATTAGCATTGATATTGTGCCCAGGGCTCTGGATGTGGATACTAACGGAACTCAGGCGGCTCCTGGAGAACAAAGGATCCCTTTTACACGGCACCCTGTGACTGGCAGAGGATTGGATTAGCAGCTTGTCAATCCTCCACTTCGAGGCGCTTTTTTGATGCACTATTGAATGCTTGGTTAGTACGGGGAATTACATTATCTGAAAAATTAATACAAAACATTAAGTGAAAGCTATGTGCTATTCCCTCCTGACCTGATTATTCTAGATTATTTAACTAAGTAGCCAGCATACCCCCTAATTTAAGTGCTGAATTCCTACCACACAAAACGTTATCTTTTCTCATAAAAGAAGCCCACGAAAAGAGCAAGCTCAATTGCCAATTATGCTTCTTCCATGAAATCTCTTCTATCCCCTTCAGGATAGGTTTGGGTAAAAATATAATTGCGGTGGATAAGGAAGCTTAAGAAAAGATGTAAGTGAAAAATGTTATGTGTTGGCATCTGATTGATCCATTTGAAAGAAAGAGAAGGAGAATTTGATGAGGTGGTAAGGAGCTCATAGTTTGTTTCGAAGGAACCTAGCATTTTTTTAACCTGTACAGGGTGCTGAGCTATAATTAAGAACGGCAAGTCAGTGAAAAATCTATTTAAACTCCTGACAGCTTCTCTGCATTAGCATTTTTGACATCTACATTCACTCTGGCAAATCACTAATGTAATTTTTTTTTTTCCAAATTATATTTTTATTAGCTTTCTGCATGTAATAACAAAATAAAAATGATGTTGCAGCCTGGACAGGTCTTTAACTCAAAAGCTCAGCACTTACATTGTGCTTAATTACCCGCCTGATTGTTGTTTTTATTCTGAAAAAAGTTTTGTACATATGTTTTCATCTATAAAGCATCTTTAAAGGGAAACCAACTTTTGATACTGTTAGTTGATGAAAAGTATGGCAAGCCCTGGATTACAAACACTGTGATTAATTGATGTCGAGATACTCATCTCTGGGGATTTTTTATTAATAATAGTAATTAATAAAACAAATTATTTATAAAATTACTTTTATTATAATTCATTATTATCACTACTAGCATTATTATTACTATATTACCATTATTATTGTTATTACCGTTATTACTGTTATTACTATTTTGGGTGAACTTTGAGTTATACAGGTCTTTCTCATTAATAATCATCCTAAGGCAAGGGAAGAATCATAGCTCAGACCTGGTAACTTGTGTATAGGTACAATATTTTCAAACACATCAACAATCTTCCTCAAAGTGGGAAGAATTTGTGATATCATTTAAGTCAGATGCACTGTGAATGTGTTGGGTTTAATTTGATAGCAAGGAAATACCATCATTAATTAGAATGCTTTCAGATTAGTGTTTGTCTTGCATAATTCAACATTTGCCAAAGTTCAGGAAAGATATGCACTAAATAGAAATTATTACTTTGATAATGCTGCTACATTTCCTCTCCTTATTTTTAATATGGCTTTTTAATTTGGGTAATGAGTATATATCACTAATCATTTTGAAAGCCTATTACCAACACCAACCAATTCATCAACTTGAGTTAATAATTTACTTTATTAGAAAAATTGGAACTGGACACAACTGTGGAGGACTTAAGGAAATAAATAATAATAAAAAAAAGCCTCCTTAGCAGATAACCTATTTTCCTATGTGCATAAAATACCCCTTGTTCTGTCAGGACTTGTTTTCCCACTGCTGGAACTCTTTGGTAGCCATTAAACTCCTGCTCGAGACACATTCTACTGCAGGGCATTTGGAAATTAAATGCTGGAGGAATTAGAGGAAGACAGTCTTCTCCCATACTTAATTTTCCCATGTATTATTAGTAGCTGCCTCTGCACTGCTAATGCCCTTCTCCCACTGTGTAGGCATGAGCTGGCAAGGTCATTTGTTTTTCAACGTGTTTACTGGAAAAATGCAGTTGCATCTGAATGATTGTTTTGGGAAAAATAAAAATCTTGGGATGAGTCATAAGTGAAGGAAAAAAAGGTCATTTGAGAAGATTTCAATAAGGGGAGAAATTGATAAAGAATATGGAAATGCATTCTAATTAGAATGAAAAGTTTGAAGACTGCACCCTGTAGTGAAATTAGTGTCTGCAGCAGACAATGCTCCTCATTAACAAATCGGGACCTCACTTTTATTACACTTAAACCAAGATTCTTCACTGCGTCCTGCCACTTAAAAACATGCATCAGTGACCACAACGCTCACCCGTGGTTACCCTCAACCCTCTGCATTCGTGAGCAGAGAGAAACTCTGGAGGAAGCCCCAGTCCAACAAGGGATGCTACAGAGATGGAGTGTTCTGTGCTGAAACTGAATCTTCCTTTGAATGGTGGAAGAATAATAAGGACCCTGCCTACTGAATCATGCTAAACTGCAGCATTTATTTATTTTTAGTACAGTTTTATCTGGTGACAACGCAGTCATCATAGCCTTTTGTTGTTAAGGTGTGTGTATATTTCTATTTGGAAAGCTTAGGATAAGAAAGGCATGAAGAGTAAAGCTTTGAAAATGAACCCCACTCAAGCAGTCACAACTCCAGTTCCCCCAAGTTCTGACATTTTTCATTACTGAGGGTCGCTCCGTGGGAAGGAGAGGAAGCAAAAAAAAAAAGAAACTAGCAAAGACCCGGAGAAATTTAAATTAGAAGTCTTGTCTTTAATAAGATCTTGCTGTGACATTAATCCCTGTCTGCAGCTGAGGTATTGTTTGCCTTTGTTGGAGCTGAGGTCCCGCTCAGCTCCTGCCTCCCAGCCCTGGCTGTGGGTCAGCCCCAGCCCCAGCAGAGCTCTCCCAAAACTGCCCCAGCCCAGGTGAGCTCAGCCAAACACCGACCAAACCCCGGCATGCTCCAGTGAGCAAAACTGCCCAGATTTCCCACTGGAAATTCCACTGAAAATCACACCGTGAGTTTTAACAGATCTCCTATTTCCTGATGAAAAGGAATTTCCCTGGAATATGGTGAGTGCTGGTTTGTTGCTGCTTTCAGCCCACCTGCTCAGAAAGGCAGAAGCTGCATCTCCACAGCCGAACCAGCCCCATCTGCCCTGTGGCTGCCCGTGCCCACAGCTCGTCCACCCATCGCTGCCCGTGCCAGCCTGCTGTGCCCAGAGCCAGCCTGCTGTGCCCAGAGCCAGCCTGCTGCTCCAGGAGCCTCACCTGAGCTTCCCCAGCAGCTCCTCGTGCATCTCCAGCCATGCTGGGTACCCAGGCTGATCCCTCAGAGACACCCCAGACCCCTGCCAGGACCTGGAGGGGCTGCAGGACAGCTGGAGAGGGATCTTTTGCAAGGAGCTGGCGTGCCAGGACAAGGGGAATCACCCCACTTCGGGGTCATACAAGGGGTGACCCTCTTTAAGCTGAAAGTGGGGGTTTAGATTAGATATTTGGCAGAAATTCTTCCCTGTGGGGGTGGTGAGGCTCTGGCACAGGGTGCCCAGAGAAGCTGTGGATGCCCATCCCCTGAAAATGTCCAAGGCCAGGCTGGATGAAGCTTTGAACAATCTGGTCAAGTTGAAGTGTCCCTACCTGTGCATTCACACTCTCTGAACAGAGAGACATAATTCTCCCTCTCGAGATTTTTCCTGGAGAAGCACAGAGAGAGCAAGTGAAAACAATTCTTAGAGAAAATAGTTCTTACCTGCGCCTGTGTTTGTCCCATGTGGAATGTGGTATGGACATTGTTTACCCAGGTGGTTGCTGGTTGGATTCTGGTGATGGTTGTTTGGATTCATGGGCCAATTGAATCCAACTGTGTCGACTCTTGAGGAGAGAGAGTCGTGAGTTTGTTAGTTAGTGATAGTTCTTGTTAGTGTAATATAGTTATAGTATATAATATAGTTTAATAAAGTAATTAATTAACCTTCTGAAATCATTGGAGTTCAGAGCTAATTCTACTATTGGGGGTCGCTTTTACGATACCCACCGTGGCAGGGGCTTGGAGGAAGGTGGTCTTTGAGGTGATCCAGAGCACCCTTGGGCTCTGTGATGCAGCAGGGATGAATTCCCCAAATCCCTGGCGTCTGAGCCCGGCGCAGCTGGCAGCGAGCACGTCTGGGACAGAGACAAAGCCTGACTAGCATAGCAAGAGGAGGCCACTTTTATTTACTTCTGTAGTCTTGGGAGAGAAAAGGGGGGCAGGGCGTAGATAAAGGTAATAAACACCTCCAAGCTGTGGCAGGGTTGGAAATGATTCTGCTGTTTATGGTTTCTCCTGGCTACAAGTAATTCCGTGTCTGTTAAATGGCCAGCAGCACCTTCCCACAGACAGGGCTGAGAGCACAGAGCCGGGCCAGGGGCAGCAGGATGACAAAGAGGAGCACAAGGCAGGATCCCTCTGACTGCTCTGCTGCTTGATGGGCTTTGTTCTCCCTGCTCAGACACTTGTGTTCCGCTGGAGTCAGTGCTGCAGCTCCAGGGAGCCCTGCTGGGTTCCTTTATTACCCTTATCCTGGAATGTGAACACTCCAGCCCCTGCAGACATGGGGCTTCTCCTGCCCTGGCAGAGCCTGGCTGCTCACACACACCCCCAAACACACCCCCTGCCCCCCAGCCTCACAGCTCTCTGGATTATTCTCCACTGCCCAAATGTTCATGCCATTTCGGCAAATGAGTGTTAGAAACACAAATTTTTGTAACCTGCTCCCTCAAGGGTTCACCTGGCTAAGGTGATCTTTGGGATCCCTGCTGCCACAGAGCACAGCTGGGCAGGGGCTGGAGGGGGGATGCTGCAGAGCTGCAGCTAATTACAGTCAAAAATCATAACTTTAGACAACTCTAATGTTTGCAGCTGGAAAGACTTAAAAGCTATTTGCCTCTAATCTCCCTCTGACAATCAATGAATTGAACAGTAAATGTTATTAGACTAATTTACTGTTCATCAAGAGTAAGAAATGAATAGAATAATTTACTATTCATACATCCAACTGTGTGACATGTGTACAGATCAGTTTGAAAGAAAAAGCAACATTAGGGTTCCAGTTCTCCTCCCATACCTTTTTTTAATTCCAATTTATCTCCATTCTCATCCTAAAGCTGCTCTGGCTTTGCCCCAGTGGCAGAATGACCACATCTGTTTGGATGCACATCTGCCTTGGTGCACAGAGCACTTTGCTCCTTGCCCAACCACCTCGGTGTTTTCCCCTGAGGAAAGCAGCCAAAAACTGCACAGCTCCAAGGGAAGCCCCTGCTAATTCTCACTATTCCCTGTGAGAGGCATTTACCTCCAATTTTCAGGTACCTCTGTGAGGATGTTACAGCTGTGCTGCATCTTCAGCACTTCATCTTTCCGCTGTGGCTACCCTGGTTATTTGGGAGTTTGGAGCATACAAGGAGTAAATTGGATTAATTTTTCTTTCTAGGACAAAACAGGGATGGTGAAAGGCTGGAAAACCTGAATATTCTTAGAGAGTTTGGCAATATTCACGTGTGGGAAAAAATCCAACCCAGCAGGTCTGCAGCCTCTCTAGTCAAACAGTCTGAATATTTTAGATATTCAAGACAGAATCTGACATCACTTTCTGGATGCCACAGACCTGAGCACAAGGAAAGCCCACTGAAAGCTGTGATCTAGAATTTGGAACCTGGAACTGAGGTTCTCAGTGGGGCTGGTGTTACCTCCTGACGTGGGTGCCCTTGCAACCCCCAGTGATTGTTTCTGCAGTCAGATCTCTGGGCTTCCTGGTGATGGGAAGAGGTGTGGCAGCCCTTCAAACCCAGCACAAGACTGATGCCCTTCCTATTGGTTCTCCTCAGCCAAATTCACTTTTTCTGCAAGTTGCACCAAACGGGAGCAGTTTTCTAGTTCAGAGGAAATAGCTGATAAGTGCACACAGACAACTTCTCACTTCAGCTGTGCAGTTTTTCCAGCAGCCCAAGAGATGCCACAGTTCTTGTTTTGATAAACAAATGCCACCTACCATCTGCCATCTCCATCTCCCGTTGCCTCTGTCAGGAAGTGAGGGTTGGAGAATGCTTCCAGCTGGAAGAGTCTCAGCTGTCTCTGCACTTCCCTTTGGTGCAATTTTAAAGGTCTGTCCATAAGCTCTCAAGTGCTGGTGTTGAAAAGAAAATCTGACAAAACCAAAGATTCAACCTTGAAGATTTAAGATTGCTTTTGCTTTTAAAACTATTTTCAAAACCAACAACAAAGCAGAAAGTACAGTTTTATGGTTTTGTTGTTTTTTTTTCCTTTTTCTGAGCCTATTTCTTCTCAGGACCTGACAGCCAGGTTTGCTTTTGTCCTAGTCACACACCAGCAGCAGTAAAAGACATCCCACCAGCCAAGTGCCACCACAAGGCTCCGCAGAACCTCCTCCCTCAGAAAATCTCCTCTCACACATGTGACATGTGGGAACGCCTCAGTAAGGTTCCCCAGCATGAAAACTTCCCTCACGAGGTGTCAGCCACCACAACGAGCCCAGAGGCAGCGATGCTGCACTGGAACCTGTCTGTCTGTCTGTCTGTCTGTCTGTCGAGGTGCTCACCACTCCCCAGCAGGGCTCAGCAGTGCCACACTGGTGGTACCACAGTTCCCGTCCCCATCTCCACTAGCCAAGCAGAGGGGGTGCAGTGCTTCCTCTGGAACATGCCACCGAGGTCCTGGGGCCACCTGGGGCCATGGACTATTGGAAATGCAGGGGAACCCAGTGGGGAGAGATCACCATGTCTGACTCAATTCGGAAGGCTGAATTATTTCTTTAGTATAACTATGCTAAAATACATTAATATACTGTATAAAATGAGGATACTAAAACTACACACTACTTTCTCTGACTCTGTCTCTAACTCAACTCGTGACCCTCTCTGAGAGCCCAGCCCCAGGTGGGATGGATTGGATTGGGTTGGGTTGGGTTGGGTTGGGTTGGGTTGGATTGGATTGGATTGGATTGGATTGGATTGGATTGGATTGGATTGGATTGGATTGGATTGGATTGGATTGGATTGGATTGGATTGGATTGGATTGGATTGGAATGGAATGGGTTGGATTGGCCACCAGGCTCAAAAAATCCTCACCAGAATCAAACCAAGCAATCACCCTAGGTAAAAAATTCTCCAAACACATTCCACATAGGAAAAACAAGGAGCAGAAATAGAAATTGTTTTCTCTTTCATTTCTCTCTGTGCACCTCTATGAAAAATCCTGAGAGGGAGAGAAATGTGCTGCCGCAATGGACCCTGCAGGACCCCCATGGTGGCTGCAGCTAGCTGAGGGCAGTTTGGGTTGGTGGCAGCACAGGGAGAGCCAGCACTGCTCCAGATGTGCCAAGGGCTGGCTGTGCTCCTGTAAATGGCTCATCAGGAGCACAGGGGTTAGCACTGACTTGTGCTGCATGTGGGGAACACACCTGAGGAACACACCTGAGGAAGGAAAGACACCTGAGAAAAACCCCCGAGGGAAGGTGCTGCTGCCCTGCAAGGCAGGAGAGTTGGGCTGTGCAGGGCAGAGCTGACGCTGGCTGAGCTGCAGCCAGCTCTGATGTCTCTGCTAGGCAGTGTTTAAAAAATAGAATCAACACATCAAATGTTCTGTCATGTAAGTTTTCCATGTCAAGGAAAATAGCCCAAGGCCCTTCTTCCCACATTTGCTGCTACAACAGCCAGACAACCTGGCCTCTGAATTTATTCTGGTCTTTAATCAGGCAAAATCCCTGTGATCTCTGAGGCTGTGCTTCACGGCTCTGGAAATAGATTATGCAGCTTTCTCAAAGGAAGGCACTTACCCACTGTTCCTGAGGTCTGTGGTCACTGTGAGAGTCACGCACGTTGTGCACAGCCTGCTGAAAATGTGGAGATGTTCTCATTTGTCCCAGTCCTCTCTGCAATAAACATCCAGCGTGGCTGCTCAGAGCCATTTCTGTGTGCTGCTTCCCTCTGTGTACACACAAGCAGATGCTCCCAGCACCAGATGACTCTGAGTGCTGCTTCCATCCTCGCCTAGTTTCTCTGATAATTTTTTCCATGCTCCTTGGGCTGTGGTTTACCTTTCCCCCGACTGTGTTGCCCTAAGAACAAATCTGGTCCTGCACAGCTCAGGCACAGCGAGGCTGCCCAGGATGCAAGGTCGCTGCTACTCTTAATTGGTTTTGTTTCTCAGCTGAGGGCACAAATAAAATTTCAATTGGCCAGAGTGGGATTTTCCCTCCATGCACTTTTATGCTTGCCTTTCCACCTTAATTAACGACTTCAGAGGTTTTTCAGGATATTGTGAGATGCAAGCTTTGCCTTTAGCAAAGGTCAGCAACCTGAACATGTGTTCAGCTGATGGAGACTCTGCCCCTGCCAGCTCCAGGTGGAGCAGGACCATCATGGTGCTCATCAAAGTCTCCATTTCTGGTTCTGAGGACTCTGAGTAATTCAGAGCTCCAAAGTGAACCCACTTTGAGGAGAGAAAGGATGTAAAACCAGACATGAGCCAGGGTTCAAGAGCAAACCAAGCCTAAGCAGCCTTTTAGACCAATTCCTCTGACAAGCAATATGGTTTTCTTGTATATGTATTCATCCTCAGCAGTCAGTAGAGCTTTGTGCTGCCACTACCCCTCTCTCCCGTGGTGCAGCCCTGGTTGCTCTCACTGATCTGTGCTATTTCTGAACTAAAGCATAAGGTTTATCATCCCTGCTGTTCTACCCTGCGAGCAGGAGTTTAAAAAAGGTCGACTACTGTGTTCAGGCAACATCAAATTACTGTAAAACAAGTGAGAAACTGCAGCAATATATGGGGAATCTCAGCATCTTCAGCTGTCTTTCAGGCTTTTGTTATAAATGGGTCTCAAACTGTTGCATTCCTTACAGAAACACGAGCCAGCCATCGACTCAGACATCCCTCCCAAGCTGGTGAACAGCATGGGCTTGCAAATGAAAAAGTTCTGTACGTGGACATGCCCTGGTGCACCTGGCATGCTTTGTGTGAGCTATCTAATGAAGAGTTTAGTGTTAAAAGCCAGCTTGAGGCTGCTTTGGCTTTGTTGGATAAAAATGATGAGAGAAGATGTGCACAGCTCCTCGGAGATGTGTCACACACAGCTCTGGGCTAGGCATGTGAGAGGAGCTGGGTGCTGCCTCATCAGGCTCTTCAGCCTCCCAAAAATGGGTGGGAGCTCCTCAGAACCTGACTGTCCCAAAACCAGCCTGCACACACCCCTTGGTCTGCACCAGCCCACGCTGCTGCAGGCCCCAGCTGGGTAATAATTAGCATTGGCCCCATGATTGCAGGAGGCTGAGCAATTGCTTTATTATATCATCTATACTATATTATACTTATTAAGGAACTCAGTAACCCCTACAGCCCATCCAATACAGCTCTGACCTAGCTGGTCAATCCATCCAAACTCCATCCAGTGTCCATCACCTCTCAGGCTCTGGGTGCTGGGATCACCCCAAGAGTGTAAAAGTCCTTGTTCAGCCCGTGCTGCCAAAGAAGGATTCTGAATGTGCAGGATCAGCTTCTCAAGGCTGTTTATTTTCCCTTATCTAGAACATTCTTCATCTGCCCTGCTGAGCTCTGTCCAGCAGCTCGGCCATGGCATTCTGTCTGCAATGTAGGGCAGCATTTACATTTTGTACCAAAAACTACCTGTCTATGTTTACAATAATATGTCATGTCTATCACTTATGTTGGACAGTGTGTCTGTACCTGAAACAAATAGAAAAGTGTCACCATCACACCAAGACATGGAGGGCAAGGAGAAGGAGAAGAAGGTCAGGACACGCCCAAATCCCTCCATCTTGTCCCTCTGAACCCCATTCTAAAAACCCCAAATTTCTACTTTTTCACCCAGTGTTAGTTCAACTACCACACTACTCAAACCCTTGTGGCTTGTAATTCCTCACACAGAGTTGGCAGTTTTTTCCACAGGCTAAAATGGAAGCCACAGGTGTTTTTGACTTTGTGCCAGGGTCTCTGAGCCCCTGCCAGGGTCTGGAGCAGCCAGGGCAGCCAGAGGGATGTGCTGGGCTCCCACACCCTTTGCCCTTCCCAGCTGACACTGAGCCACTCCCTGGGTGTGCATCTGCAGCCCAAACTCGCCTTTCCTGCAGCTGCCAGGACCTGGGTGCACACCTGGAGCTCACCCTGCGCTGCCCCGTTAATTACTGCCGTTAATTACCGCAGTTCAGGGGGGCAGAGCTGCAGCCCACAGGCGCTGTCTCCTCGCTGAGATGCAGAGGGTGATGGGGAGCTGCATCCCTTGGCCAGGGTGGGTGGGAGAGTGGCCAGGGGGTCGGGGTGGAGGTGATTTAGGGAGGGTGGGCTTGTGGCAGCAGTGAGCTGGGCAAGGGCAGGGCTGGCAATGCAGCTCCTCCTCACCTGCACCTTCACCTGGCACCCCAGAGCCGTGTCTGTGTGCCAGGAGGGGCTCTCAGTCCTGACCATGTCCCCAGAGCTGGTACCCCACAGGCCAAAGCCTCAGCCCAGCCACAGCCTGGTGGCACACTGCAAAAGCCCTACAGCACTGACAAAGGAGCTCATTTCTTACCAATTACTTGTCAAACAACATGTAATTAAATAGCACAGAACTGCCTGCGATGCATCTTTGGGTCTTTAAACCTTTTTTTGCCTCCACTGTTTGTGGCATGCCTCTACAGCACTTCAAGGCTACTGCACACTGCAGAGCAGCAGAGGAACAGAGTGATAATTGAACAATTAACAAGTGATGTCATAAAACAATGCACTTAAAATAAAATGCATAATTAAAATAAGTGAACCAAAAAAAAAAAAAAACTATGTTACAACATACAGACACAAATGTTGACAGTAAGTCTCATACAGGAACTGAAAAATGTAATAAAAAGGGAAAAAGATAGCACTACAGTGGTTAAATAAAAATGTGGCATAAACTAGCAAACATCTCGGTGATTTGCCAAAAAATATAATAATGTTGCAGAAGAATTATTCTCTGAAGTTAACGAGTTTGGACCATAAAACAGTCCTTTGGTGGCTCCCTGTGTCATTACTTGCTACCAAGGCACTGCACTGATGGGCTCCGTGGGATCGCTGAATTCAGCGATAGATCAGTAAGCAGGAAAGCAGAGTTCCCACCAGATTTCCTGCCTGGAGAGTTGTTAGGATCCATGCTAGTTCTTTAAAGAGCAGAACTGTGTACAATACTGCACTCAGAAAGACCCCATTAGGAATATAATCTTCTGCTACAAATGAGATGTTTGGGGAAAAGAAAACCACGAGAAAGGCCAAAAGGAAAAAACAAAAACCAAAAAAACCAACAACAAACAAGCCTGCTTGACTGAAGTTCATTGTAATTGCAGCTAAAAATGCAATTTTTGGGAGCTTTGCATGCTGTTCTTGGGAAGGACCAGAGAGGGGTCACCTCTTCTGTTCCAGGCCAGGCTCCAGGCTGCCCAGCCAGGCTTCACCCTGCTGTCTCTGCTGCCATGGGGCAGCCAGCACCGAGCTGGAGGTGCCAGGAGGTGCCCACACCTGCAGCCGTGTTCACTCACAGCCTCTAGAGCCCCTTGCTCCAGTTTCTCTGCTTTCTTTCAGCACGTTTAATTTTTTTTTTTTTTTAAACGCAAGACACTAGAAAAGATTTAAAAGCGTGAGGCAGACGTGCTTTCCAAGAATAATTGCTCCTTGGCTGATGCACAGGAGCTCTGCTCTTGCATTTCTGGGAGATGTCTGCAGACTGCTAACTGCTCTGGAAGCCTTTCAGCCTTTGCTGCCTGCAAATGGCATTATTATTCACTAATAGCCTTGGCTCACCATGTTGTCTTTTGGTTAGTTAGCAGCTATTCTGCAAGTCAGAGACAGGCAAAGAGGAACATATGTTGAAGCAGTAGCCAACTTGTGACCTGTAAAAAAAACATCCTGGAAGGTTTTCCCAGAGCAATCCCCACCATTAGCTGGGGAGGGATTTGTCAGCGGTGGGAAGGGGTGTCCCCCACCTCCCACGGAGCAGCTGCTGTTTCTCAGGCAGGTTTCTGGAGGGGAGAGTGCAGAGGATGCTCCTGCTGCTCGCTGCTACTGCAGCTGCTGCCACAGGGTCACGGAGCAGGAGGTGCCAGGATTTCATGGGGGTGGAAAGAGAGAGTGGCCCCAAATATCCATGGTGCAGCATTCCCAGACTAATGCATCTAAATGCCAAATATTCGTAAATCTCATTAAAACACAAGGGTACTTAATAATAAAATCCTTTCTGCTTTGTTTTTTTCCTAAAGGTTAGGGATTGGGTTTGTTTCATTTTGTTTCTCTAAGGTTACTTGCTCACCTGCTCATTTCTTTTTGGATATTGTAGGATTCTGTTATTTACTGCTCAAGCAGTCCCAAGAACTGCTCTGCTGACATTTCACGGTATTTAGTATTGACCAAACACTACATGATAAATCTTTATAATACTCCAGAGAGACCATCAAGGGAGCAGTTACAAATGTATACATTGCAGTGCGCTGTGTTCTGGGTTAAATGAAATATAAAACCCCGTGGCCAGCCTGGTACTAACGTCTCTATCAGTATTCCATCACGCCAGCTGCAGGTGTGGTGCTTGCCATTAAGACATCAGCATTTGTCGATGGCTGCAGATGGTAACTGATGGATCCCCCTTCCCTGGGCACTGGGGATGGCACGGGAGCTCAGGAACAGCAGCAGCTCACCTGTGCCCTGCCCAGCCCTGTGAGCACCCAGGCACACAGAGGGACAGCGTGGCACAGCCGTTCAGCACGGTCACCCCTGTCCTCCCGCAGGCAAAGCACTCTGCTCCAGGAGAAGAGCTTTTCCAAGCTCTCAGAAAGTTCTGCTTTAGTTTTGAGTTTTGGTTAATTTATAGCCCAGTGGATTTCACCATCATTACTTTTGTACATTCAAACACAGTTTAATTTTCTTTGGAAGATGCAGACGTGTGTACAGCTAGATAATGCCCTGTTTATTTTACTGACTAATTCATCACTTAAAGTGCAAGGCTATAGGTTGAGAGACCAAGACTTATGCACAGTTCCATACCCCTAAATCAGGCCAATAAAAGTTAAATTCCCACTGTTTGCAAGCACTTC